CCATTTCAGGTCTTGGGAAAGTATAGAGCCCAGGAACCTGAATTAGCTGACCAACCAGCAAGCTGCTGAATCCCTTATGAGTCGTCCAATTCGTCATCCATGTTCTCAACCTGAGAGCATCATCAAGTTAAAATTACAGCGAAATCTGATTTATTCAAGCAAAGGCCACACACCTAGGCAAATGGTTTAGAGGAAGGTACTGAATCTACTCATTTTTCTTCAGGCTAAGCTAAATGATAGCACAAAGACCAAGAAGGTCTGCCAAGAAAGATCAGTTCCATTCTGAGGCTCTCTTGCAACCTTGAGGTATGAAGATGGTATGGGGTGGTCCACTGGGATTTATTCTTTGCAGAATGGTCCGTTGCTCCCTTCCAAACTATTCAAATATGTGGAGCTTTTTTTTCACCAATATTTTCATTCTCTTCTTTCCTACTCAAAATCTTCCCAATTTTTCCAACCACAAAATCATGCCATTTCTATCTGTATTTTTCTCAGGGTTACTTATCATTGGTCTGTACGTTATTTTCCCTTATAACTACAGTATCTCCTTCAAGGTTCAGCTGCATGCTACATATTTAATGTAACCTAGGTTTGACCCTCATTTATACAGAAAATGTAAGCTATAAAAATGAGCCTTTAGCACACTGAAGATGGATTTATTGTGATATATGCTAGAATCAAGCTGTTAATTTTTATACTACTTTAACATTCTTGTTTATGTGTGCATACATGCATATATTTATTGTCAGAAACTCACATGAATAACCTCAGCAATAAACTCATTTTTTTGTATTTTTGTATATGTAAGGTCTTTTGCCCAGCTTGGTGGCATCCATGAAAATCTTAAGCAGTCTAGTTCAATTCAAAAGAAACTTTACTTTTACTTTTCACATGTTATATATTCCTATTTCCCCATGATTGAATAGCCATGCATCTACTTATCAGAAAGGCAAGATATAGTTTCTCTAATTCCCTGAGATCTATTCTATTCTTTTCTATTCTTTTCTATTCTATTCTATTCTATTCTATTCTATTCTATTCTATTCTATTCTATTCTATTCTATTCTATTCTATTCTATTCTATTCTCTCTCTTTCTCTGTTAGTAATGTTACATATTTCATTGCAGGAATCTCCAGCTTTTACTAAGTCTGTCATGAAATTAAAAGCAAGCAAGAAGGTTTGGGCAACGGCAAGCACAAAGCAGCCTTGATGCCTGAGGCCAATCTCAGACAAAATCCCCAATTTCAAGGAAAGAGTTGTGAGAGCACTTTTTAATTTTTTTCTAAAGGTGGTTCTGCCTCTGTGTGTGCACATATGGGTGTCTGCATCACCCTCCAAGCAAACCTTAATTGTTCTCACTCACTTGGCAATATAATCATGAGATCTAATAAGTAGAATATTTATTCTTTTATGCTTCTGATGCCTAACAGGGTCAACTGCTTGTTAGGTATCAAAAGCAATGCTTGTTGCTCCAAGGTAGCTGGCCTTGACTGGAGAGGATTGGAATACTTCTAGCTCTATTTCAGGCAAAAAATAGATATAAGTTTGGAACATGGAAACAAAATGTGTGTGTTCCAAGAGTTTTGAAGCTGAGCACGCTCTTTGGTTCTGAGCATGATAAAAAGCTTGGCTGTCCTGAGCAGCATAATTTTGAGTGTTCTGTCTGCTCTGAACTCAGCAGTTTGGTTATTTTGCCGCTTGGATGAGAGAGGGTCTTTTTCAGACTTTCTCCATCAGAACAGAAGGGGACTAGGAGCATTTCTGTGACTATTTGGGTAGGCTGGATGGAGCAATAGGGCAGGGGAGAATTGGGAAGGAAGCACCAGTTAAGTGCTGGGCCATAGGGACAACCATGACCCTACTGCTGTCTTGTTTTTGAGTGGAGGGGTGAAAGATGATAGGCTGTGTTATGCAGGCAGGTGAAGCAAAGGGTCCAGTCCTGTACCGTTGAAATGCCTGTTTTTGCTTTTAGACTCAGGACTTCCCGAATCAGTTTCCCCACCTTGGAACCTGAAGCAGATGAGGCTTGAGGTGGTTTCATAGGCAACTCACGTGGAAGAGGTGCATTGCAAAGTGTATCAGCCTGAATGAAGCACTGAAGCATTGATCCTCTGGATGTTGCTCCACGGGGCGGCTTCATGGGTTTTCCCTGGCCACCTCTGCACGTGTGTGCATGGCCAGGCGTCTTTTCTGTCAAAATCCAAAAGGGGAAGTTGATGTGATGGAAACACTCTGTTTGTTCCAGCCCCAGTAGCTGTAGGTATAAAATCAAAGCCTGCTTTCTTTCTCCCAAACATCAAATATTAATGCTGTGCAAAGGATTATCCCTTCTGGAGACTTTG